GAGGAAAATGACTAATTGCTGTGGAAGCCATTAGCTTTCGGGAAGGAAAAAAAAGCTCAATGAAAAACCCAAGTTGCAAACTCAAAATGAAACAGTGCGCTGACAAAGCGAGGACCCTCGGGCCGGGTAGTGTTCCCCGGAGTGCAGTCGGTCCCTAACAATCAGCTATTGATTTTTCTCAGCTTGGACTTCCCGACTCGAGCTTTTGAGTCACTTCGGGTAAATACATTAACTTACGTTTTAAGACCCCCATAAAGGAAATACTCAAACTTAACCTCAGCCACCTTTGAACGGATCAAAGCGAGCTGCTGGGGGCGGGGAGGGGGCCGAGAGAGGTATTTTTAAAGTATAAATCTACCCCCGACAGGAAAGAACAGAAGCCAGGGAGGGCTTCCAGCCTCCTGACATCACTAGATAACTAACCCAGCGGGGTCCTCTCTCCACCTCCCCGCGGGGAATGCACCCCCAGTCCTTGGGTCTGCTGGAGGGGGCGGGGAAGAGGCGGGTGGTCGTCCTCCGGGCCTCGCCCAGCCTGGGGAGAAAGCCTGGGTGGCTAACCCTCAAGTCTCTGGCCCTCTCGCCCCTTCCCTCCGCCCCCAACCCTACCCCCGTATGGCTTTGCAGAGAAATTCCAGCGGGGAGCGGGGCGGGGGCCGAGGTGGCTGCGAAGGGGAGGGGAGCGGGTGGGTTCCCCCTTCTCAATTCACGCGGACCCCCGAGTTCGGGCGCCTCCCGCGTGGCACACCTCGCCTTTGCAAGTTCCCCCATTCACTTCCCCTTCCTATCACGGACCGCTCCTGAACATCAGCGTCGCAACGAGCGGGTCTCCCAGTCCACGCTCAGCCTCCGACGCGCGGGGTGGGGCGCCAGAGGGTGCGGAGGTTGGCAGGAATGTCTCCGAGAGGCTTGGACTAGAAACCTAGTTTTCCCTTTTGGTCGCCACTCCGATCATGTGTTAAAATCTTAACGTTGCTGGGTAAAAAAAAGCACTCCATCTAGCACGCGGGGGGAACGCACGTTGCCTCCTGGGCAGAAGTGCACGTTTTAAGTGCAGACTTAGGCTTACAGAAGGACCTAGCGCCGGTGCTGGGCTTCGAAGTAACTGGGCACTTGGGGGTGGGGGGTGGGGGAGAAAGAAAGAAAGAAAAAAGAGAATGTTGGCTCCTTCCTACCCCTTTTTCACGCCTCAAGGGGGTAGGGGGGATATCCTGTCCTTTGCGGGATCAATGATGAACTTGAGCGAACGGCTCCCTGCTCCCTACTCTTCGAGTTTTCGAGTTTCGGTTGGAAAGTGTACAAAACCCTGTAGGTGCAGGGTGCAGCCGGGTGTTGGGTGCTTATAGGCACATTTCTGCAAGAACTTGCAACGCTGAGCACACACACTCCCAGGCTCACCTTGGCGGATGCCCGCCAGCCAGGTGATCCGGTGGCCTCCAAGCTTCGGAGTCGCGAGGGTTCGAGACCCGCTGCCTCCGCCTCGGGGAGCTCAGGCGGGGGAGGGGGGGTGAGTTCAGGTTCAAGAGTGGGAGCCATCGCCCTCCCCGACCTCCCCCGAAGAGTAGAACTGTGTACAGTGTGTTTACCCTTTGAGGGATGGACGGTCCGACTACCAAAACCGAAAACCCGACGGTTACTTAAAAATAGATGATGGCGTGTCCTAGTCCCAGTGCCAGTCCCAGCTCCGGGCTCCGGGCTCACCGGGCAGGAAACGAGGAAGTACAGAAAGAGGAATGG